ATATTCAAGCTTTGTACATACATTGTAAATGTTAGACTTGGTCTTTGTTCAGCCCCTAAACCTAATTATAAACTGTATAGCCATGCTTTGTTCAAATCCATAGAGTTTTATTTTACACTGTAGTAAAGGTGCGAAAGTTTTCAAAGTTTCTGAATCTGTTTTTTTTAAGTTTTTAAATTTTAAGAAGATGTGTATTGAATGATGCAAAATACATTTAGAATATTGTTGATTTGATGTCTTGTAGCTTCAATGAAGAGCTGGTGCAAGGTTAAACATTACTTTTATGAAACAGACTGTGGGGAATAAGATGATTTTAACAACCACACAACTATTTATAGTGGAATAAGTGTATGTCAGGAGGCTTCACATATATCATTGTTTCATTTGACATGATCTCTTAATCTGTTACTGCAAATTATTTTACATTTCAACTTTTAACTCTCATTTTTAACTTTTACCTTGTTTTTTACCTTCTACCACTGAGAGGAGATGCACTGGAATTTTGTTGTACATTTGTGCAATGACAAAGTATTCTATTCTAAACTTTATTACATTTTTCGTTATCAGTCTGTTAACATTCTCTTCCTTTGGGGCAAAACATTGTGACAAAAGCCCAATGTCAATGTCCAATATCCTGTCTTCATAAAGTTACCATAATTATATTGCATCTACTGCATTTTCACCTGAACATTTGGGTGCATCATGAATGCAGACTCTGACCTTTGTGGCAAGATATGATGTATTAATGTGTGACAAAATCATATATTACTTGTACTATGTATAAATGTGTATAGAATGAAATGCTCTAGTATTCATTTCAAGTGTTTTTAATGTCATAAGTGAAAGAGTTGTGTTGAAGTCATGACTTGACCAGTGCGATATGGTGAATGTGGTGAAGCCAATATTGACAGACACATGTGTGATTAAATATCTCTTTTAATAAATTCTTTAACAAGATAAATTAAGATTCCACTTCTTTTGACAGCACATTGTTTCATACTCCATGTCTCTGCCTTCAAAATGTCAGCACAAACTTTACAAAAAATATAAATGTACCTCTCAAAAACCATGTTTTCATTATTTCCAGTGGATGCTCTGTAGCTACAGCATACAGGTTACTATGTATAAAAAATACTACACTTCTCTGTTTATAAAACAGAACAAATAATAAGATATAATTTAAGAAAAATCACATGATAGTCCCTATCAGGGTTCTTGTGCAGGAATGCATAACAATTAGAGTCATATGTTGCAGATATGAACTGTTGTTTAGAGCTTATGCTGATGATGTGGTGTTGCCTGGAGTTCTGTTTGCGAGGATCTTGCTGTTCTTCTTTCTCCTTTCACTACAAAGAAAAATGAAAACCCAACATTAATTTGGTCCAGTATTTAGATATATACTACCAGATGAATACAATGTGCAGAAAAAGTGACACTAAACATGCTAGAGATGTACAAGTATACTCACTCAATGCACTTCATCCCTCTCTGAGTCCAGCTGCTTGAAGGATCAGCGCACAAAAACCTCCCTGGGAGGTGGAATCTGTGGAAAAACAGGAAACAGTTAAGAAATGATCAAACACGCAACGCATGAATGCACAACATTACACATGAGATGCACTCTCCCTCCCTGTGGATTTTTTTCCACCTTGTGTATTAACCCTAAGTGTCTTCTAGTACATATTAACAACAGTAACCGAGTGACCCCTGTCCAAATTAGCTGCTCTCAGAAAGTCCCAAAGCGCCTCCTGACTGATTTTGGGTCACACTTTAACTGGCAGGGAACACACAAGCAAGGTGTTGTGCAATTTTGACACAAGCTAACCTACTCATGCTTTGTTAAGTCATATCTAGTGCCTGCTTTCTAACATATCAGAACTTATTTGCTTTCTCTCCAGTCAAAGCAGATTTTTGTCCTAATTATAACACTAAATATCTTTACACACACACTGTGTCTCTGTTCGCTGTATAAAGAATGGATAAGAAAGCAGAATAACACACAAGATGTCATGTTAAATAAGATTTAAGATATAAAATCCTACTTTACTGTTGAATTTTTTGCTTTTACCTCTGAATTTGACATAATTTCTATATTTATTCAGCCACCTAAAACTTCCTAACCACATCTTTTTCAGGTGTATTTATTGGGTAATTTAGTTGTAAGTGATAGAGTAATATTTTGGGATGGTGAACTGTTATAGGACAAAACAAGACATTTCATCCCATCACCTTGTGGTCTTGGATAATGTGATGGGCATTTTTCAATGTTTAATTTGAGAAAATAGTCCACAGAATAATAGATAATGACAAAAATGTTAATTGCAGCACTTGTAGACAGATAAAAGATCAGACTGTTGACTCACATAACAGCGCTGATGTCGCAGGAAGTGTAGATGTTCTGGATGGTGTAGCCAAGAAGATGATGGCATTTCATCCGACGACTGACGTACCTCATGCAGCAGCTCGCTATGAAGACACACATAATAAAAATACAGCATGAAATACCTTTTCATTTTAGTTCAAAACATTTTGATAAGATAGTTTTTTAATACTATGAATTTAGTTTGCTGATTTAATCCTGAACCATACAATATTAATTCAATTTACTGAGAGTTTGTTAAAGCTTTAGAATGTTTGGATACTTCATATATGAAGTATATCCTGCCAGGAATGGCAGAAAGGATACGGCACATGTGTTATCAGTCGCAGCTGAAGGACTCACCAGACTGTGTGCTGTCGATAAAAGTGCTGAGGATGATGAGGGAGCACAGGGCTGCCAGGAGACACACTTTGCCGCTTGTCATGGTGGCTTAAAGTTGGAGTGCAGGCTCTGCCGCTCTCAGTGTGTTGCTGTAGTAGGTTAAGTGGTGTAAAGCGCCTGAAGCGATTCAGTGAGAGTGTGATAGAGAGTACCTGCACTCCTTTCTTAAGTAGGCCGTCGCTGGGATTTCCCCCGTTTGGCAGGCTTGTAATGACAAGTGTGATTGTTAGGAATGTGGCAGTGAGCCAGGAAGTAAAAGTACACCTGCCGGCTCTAACCTCCACGTGGAAATGGGTGTGTTAGATAATTTATACATGTACAGCGTGTACACAACCACTTTGCTCAGTTTAGTTTCAGTACCAGAAAAGATGACAAATCTCAGATAATTAAACAAAAACGTCAATAAACAATCAATTAAAAGATCTATGGACACCACAGCGGTGCAACAGGCATTATTATGTAGAGGTGGGACCAAGTTGTTGGTTTGTAGGTCGCAAGTAAGTCCCAAGTTTTTGCAGTCAAGTCCCAAATCAAGTAACAAATCAGACTGACAAGACCTACAGGGTCTCCAACTCATTTCTGTATTTGTAGCAGCCCGCCACAATTAAAACATTTGCCACCATGGTTTTTTATTTTTTATTTTTTGAGCAGGACCGTTCAGCAGGAGCGCTGTTGCAACTTATATACAGCAACTTATTCAGTTATTCATTGCTCCACACTCTCAAAGTGCAGGGCATAGACAGAGCAGTAGAATGTCAGATGTAGTGAAAATGAAACCTAATCGTTCACTGAACTGGGTCTAAAAGTTGAAAGTGTAAAAGCAGCTGCTCCTCTCATCCATCTTTCTTATCTGCTCAGCTCTGATCGTATCAACTGATCAATTATCCACCCCGCCACTCAAAACTCCACAAACTGCTGCTGAGGAAGAAAATGAACTCATGAAGAGTTCTGCCTGTGCTGTGTTCAAGGACTCGCAAAAACCTCTGAGAAAAAAAAACCTCCTTTGAGAGGGCACATCTCTGATATACAAGGAGTAAAGTTAGTGGTCACCCTCCCCAGTCCCTGTGTAAGCTACCAAGTCCTAGACTTTGAGCCAGTTGAGCAACAGAGTAATGATATATTAAATTTACAAAAATTATGAATGCCTTTTAAAATGTGCCTTCATTTTATTTGTTTCTTGGTGGTTGTTGCGTCTCCATCTGTTATTTTAGACCTATACATTTCGCAAACTGCAGTTTGCTTCTTTTTTAGTTTTTTGTTGACCATTGATCGGTTTTTAATGCCAAGACAGTTATCTTTGGTATCATTTTTTCCAACTGGCGCTGAGTAACATGATGCAAGTCCTTCATACTTCTCCCCTGCAACTTGACTGGATGCTGTCGGACTGGTTCAAGCTAAGTGAATCTATGGAGTCAGGAGTGGACTTGCTGGGTGTGAATAGTGTTAACATTAGCTGATTGAGGAAATGACAGGAAACGTACTGGTTTGTGGCACTTTTAAAATAACATACTTTTTAATCTTTGGGCTTTTTTGATTTTGTCAAGTGGAGTCTAAAGTCATCACATTTGTGGCTCAAGTCCTAGTCATATGACTTCAGCCCACACCTCTGTGATTAAGATACATATAAATTAAATAATCTGCCTCTTTTAAATGATAAAAATCACTAAGGCAGCACAAGCAATAGATCATATAAACTCAACAGCGGCTACAAGCCACAAACACACAGATAAAAATACTTACGTACAAGTAAAATTACAGACTCTTAAAATTACTCAAGTACAAGACTTTGTTACAGTAACCGGAGCTTAAAGTACAGTAAATTTTGGACTTGAGGCCCTGACACACCAAGCTGATGGTTGGCCATTGACCAAAGTCTGGCCGTTGGTGAGCGTCTGTCGGCCTAGTTTGTGTGGTGTGTCCTGCACTGTCAGCACTTTGGCGTCGGCGGTGGCGGCTTTTCGGCCGATTGAGCATGTTGAATCGCCGGCAGAGCTCGTCGGTGAGAGAGATCACTCTGATTGGCTGTTAAGGTTTTATTTCCTCGCCCCTGTAGTGAGTGAATCTGCCTGTTGTGAAATCGGGGCTTACTC